CCAAATATAAGTAAATATTAATAATTAAAACAATATTTGGCAAGGATAAAGGGGAAAATTAGCAATAAAATAACCAACAATTAACACCCTATCAGCAAAGCAAACAAAATTGGGGTTGCAAGTACTGTTAGATTCGGAGCTATATGATGCTATCCTTGTATAAAGGAGGGGAAATTGGAAAAAGGCCACTGACCAGAGGACTTTGGATCACGAGGCGTGCCCACGCTTTACAGGACTTTTGCCCCTTAAAAAAAAAAGGAAAAAAAAAAAACCTGAAGAGACCTCATGACCAGAGGACTATGGGCTACAAGGCGTGCCCACGCCTTGCGAGCAGCCGCAAAAAAAAAAAACAAAAAAACAAAAAAATTTGGGGCACTTGTACAGGGTGTACAGCAAATGGAAACTGCCCTGCTTGTGAAATTTCCCCGGTAAAGCACTGTGGTTATGGGTGGGTTTCGGACATTCTCTTGACACTTTACCCCTATCTATACCTTCTTAACTCGCCTTTCACTTGAGCCCCATTACAACCCTATTAAAGTCCCTTTGATTTATGTGTTTAGTTCACTTTTAAGTGGTGGAGATGTGATAAATGTGCAAGCCTATGGTAATGGCATTCCGTGATGTTGAATTGAGCGTTCCTAGTATTCATATATATTCTTTGAATTACAACATGTCCGGTGTGTTCTACCTTGGTGATATTGTCAGGGACCCTAGATGCTTGTGTTAGTATAGACTAGACTACTACATGACCTCTGCTCTCTTGGTTGTACTTCTGAGCTCCGAAATGCTTGAGGCAAGCATTGTCTAGGTGTGGGGGGATTTGATAGAGCCGTTATTTGGCACGTTTTGCATTGTCATCTTGTTCTAATTTTGGCTATTCATGGTGCTAAGAAAGGGAATTTCACTCATATTTGATATTTGTGTGAATTGTAGGTGGTTAGCATTAAAATGATATCGCGGGGTAAATTTTCAGAAGACTTTTCATTTCAGAGCGTGGCCAGCGCCTTAAAAGGAGGATGAAACCGAAAGCCGGACTGCGGTCCACGTGAACCCGAAGCGTGGGATCAGAACTCTGGAGACAAAGCTTTGCTCCAGGCCTTTGTTCCAGACGTCTTTTTCTTTTCTACGTCTCTTGTGCGGCGGATATAAAAAGCGAAAACAAGGAAGATTCAAGGGGCATCTATTTTTGAGGCTTAGTTTTCTTTTCCTAGGTTTGTCAGCAGTCAGCCGCTTTTGACTGGGGGCTTTTGGCATTCTTCAGCCGCAACTTAGACTAGTTTAGGAGTTCACCTTTTCAATCTTTTGCTGTAGACGCCTTTGACGTTCGCTTTTGATTTGCTACAATTTTCCATCGCTTTTATCCTTTTTCTTGACTCTGCTCCAGGAGCGACGGAATATAAGGAAATGAACCAAGGGAATTTCCCATTTGTTCCTTAGTTAATTCACATCGCTCCGCTCCTTGGAATTAATTGTTTGGATGTTTGCGTGGATGAAATCAATTAAATCGCGTGAGCTTGGCATGATGAGGAGCAGCTAATTTTCTCCTCTACCCAAAGGGTGACGTGAGGCGCGGTCCATAATATCTGTGAGATCTAATCAAGCTTTCATTATTTCTTCCAATTCGTTATTATTCGTGCGTTTTCTGAATTAATTGTTCATGGGTATTTGATTAATCGAATATCAACGGCCGGGTATTTGATTTAATTTAATAGCCTACTGCCACGTTAATTAAATAGAATCCGTAATTGTTCATTTAGTTAACACCCCGTGGCAACCACCATAATTGGTTTTATGATGGGGAAACGCAGGATCTAGCTTAAATAAACCCTCTTAGCGTGTGTTATTGGTTAGGGTTGGGTTCTTCTAGCTTTAATGCAATTGGGTAATTAAATTCCTATGGTCGTACCTAGGGTTGTTATCTGGTTAGGGAAGCAATCAATGGTCGTACCTTGACTGTCGAAAAGGTAAGGAAGAACTGGTTGTCAGAGCTTATTGATAACTATAACCAACCTAGTGATGAATGGGTGAAATATCTTTGCATCGATGATCATTTAATTGGACCGTGCCTGAGCAGTTGATCCTTTGGGTGGAATCTTATTAATTGCTATTTTTAGTGAATTGTGCTTTGTGAGTTAGTTCTGAATTTAGTTCGCTTTATTTTTTTTATTTTACTTTTATTTTATTTATTTATCTCCCATTGAAAATCCCCCAATTTTGTTCTACTAATTTGGAAAGAAATAATTTCCTACCCGCTCCCTGTAGAATCGACCCTACTTGCCATTGTACGCGAAATTAATATTTTTATAGACAAATCCGGTATATCGGATTAAGCAAACTCTTCGGGAACAGGATGAATCAAGTAACCCATTGCACACCTAGGGTCCCTGCTCCAGTAATTGGATTTGTTCTATAATTATTTAATTGAGGTGGTAATTAGAACTTTTTAGTAATTATTATTGCACAGGTTCGGCACCTGTCAAGAATCCTGATTTACGTACTTGACATTGCAACCACAATAAATGATAAATGACATGGACAAAGAAAGAGGCCAGTACAAACGCACTCAAAGCAAGCAAGTACTAAAGCCATCAAAAGCCGGAACAAAAAATTGAATACACGCAACATAATAAGAATAAAATCGACATTGACCAAGTTTGGTCTTTAAAAAATCATTCATCAAAGATAAAATGATCCCTCTTCACAACAATACTCACCTGAAAGATCCAAGTCTGGCATTTGTGTATGTGGCTTGTCTAAGCAACCCAGCACTCAAACCCTGCTCAGAATTTCAGGATGACATGAATAAGTGATGCATAAGTTCCCAAAAAAGTTCCTTGATGGAAGCACAAAAGACATGCGTAACAGTCCAGAAAAAAAAAAAGAGCAGCCACATTTTGAACTGACAAAACAGAGAGTTTGGGGAAGAATCATTAGCAAGGATCAAGCCAAATATTTACCCAAAAAAAAAAATGAAAGCTCAAAATGAATCTTGTATAACATATGAGAGCCTGTAAGCCTACTCAATAGTGCCTATGGACAATGGAACAACAGCTCCATACAGAATGAAAGCGACTGCATGTATTTAAAATCTCTTAACTAATCCTAATAAAACAATTATTCATACTACTTTTGGATTTGAGGATTAAAGAGAGTGCAATTCCAAACGAAGAAAAACTGTGTCTTCTTCAATTTGTCTTTTTAAGAGACTGACACTGTCTAAATTGAAATTTATTTTGATTATAACATTTGCCCGTGTGGATATACTTTCCTAATATTATTAGAAAGTTTGCTCCAGTATTTTATACGATTTGACTTTTGGTAATCTGATAATCCAATGAAGCTTGTTCCTGTTTACATGTCCAATAAATAAACATGCTTGCCATTCTCCTTAGTTTTACTGCTCTTTTTCTTTGTAAGAATAGTCAAATTAATTGTTTCAAATCTTAAAGATATGGAACAGCAGAGTGAGACGATGCAGCATGAACAAAGCAGAGGTTCTATGTATTCATTTGTTACAACTGCTGTCTTCTTTTTCACCACATGTGTGTTTTTTATGGCTAGAGCCTATTGTTGTATAAGAAATGTTCAGAAAATGTACTACATTTATCTGCCATATGCGAAATTATGTACAAGATCTTCAAATTCCCAGGCTATGGGCCTGATGTGGAAATTGCTAAAGTTAATTGCTTTTTAATATTCATTTGTATGAGAAGTTTTAAATTAATAGCTTGTGTTTGCAGAAGTTTATGTCGAAGAAAAATCTTTCAGTTACCTTTATAATGAGGATGACATTGTTGTTCTTAAGGAGTAAGTCCTAACTTATGGTCTTGATTCTGAGCTGTTGATCATCTTCTGAATTTATTCGAAGGCTTGATGATTATTTGTAATTATGCAGGCCTGAGACATATGCACAAATTAATGTTCCAAAGCACTTGTTTGGTGAATCTCTTCCATACCTCCAGGGTAAAAATGTCACATGTTTTATTTATTTAGTTCCTTTTTCCTGTTCTACATTGCAGATATTGTAGAAATTTGTGTGTGCCAAAGGAATGTTTAAATTTTGGATGAAATGGCAGCTAACTTATTTGATTGACATGCTTAATGATTAGAAAATACACTTCATGGACCTCATGGAATGCAGATGATATGAAAGTTAAGCTGCAACTTTACGATGAGAAGCCGATGTCTGTGTCAATTCCTCCGAAAGTGACATGTACTGTTGCTGAGGCACAAGTTCCAATAAACGGGTCTACAGCAACTCCTCAATATGTTTATCACTTTTTAGATTGTAGGCCGAAAAGAACCTCAACATGTAGTATTCATATTTGTCCAGAACCTAACCAGGCATAGTTTGTATAGGTGCTCCTGCTCTAATGCTCTTTACATCTCATCTATCTTGTTCAGATTAAGTTGCTATGCAATATCTCTGGTCCTCCTTTGGTTGTCATTTTTCTGTCATTGCATTGCAACTTAAATAGCTTGCAGCTGTGTCTTCAAGTGGTTGTGCTTGCTTGATACTTGTAAGGATTTTGTCTCATCTGTAAGACTTCTGAATGCTTTGACACAAAATCTAGTATCCCTCAAGAATTTTAGTTTACCTCAAGTTTTTCGTGTTTGAAGTTGGTGTACATATTTAAACAAATGTATAGCTCTTGCATAGTTTAAAATTTCTCACACAATTTTTCAGCAAAAGCAAAATTTTGCTGGTGTTTCTTTGCATTTCTGTACTTCAGCAAAATTTTCTGTTGCATGAATATGCTCCCGTCCATAGTGTGTTCATGTTTGTCGGACTACAATTGATCTTCCAGTGGTTTAATGCCAGCATGTTTTGTATCAGTAAAGACGACTTCTAAGAGTGTGAGGTATCAATATCTTTGGATTTCTCTTAAATGCTAAAATTAGGAAATGAAAAGGGCGTAAGTTGAGAACTGGAAAAGAAATTTCTACTGTATAGTCTGGTAAAGGCTTTGCATAATTGGAAAGGGTTCCTTCTTGTTAAGACCATGTATTACTTATAGGAGATGGCCGGTTGGTTTACATGCAATTGGTATGTTTATTATTTATGAAACTAAATTTGTGATTTTGTTGCTGAGAGGGTACGGCGCTGGTATGTTGAATCAGCAAAATCAGTAACACATGAGAGCAAGAGATACAGTCAGGGAGAGTCTCTTTTGTTGAATTGGTTGCAGTGACTAATATGTCCTCTGAATATGAAATGACTTTGGTGGATATAAATCTTCTTTTAAGTACTACCAAAGGAATGAAAGTTTTAGACCAACAACTAAGTCTTTGGCACTATGAGATTTGTTCAGAAAGTCAAGCTTGCTAATCTCCTAGTTCTGCTTCTTCCTTCTCTAATTCTGAGTTCCTAGTTTCTCATAATTTTTCACTTTTACAGGTATAAGAAGGTTAAGCTGGACAATGGTCTCACAGTTCAGGTGAGTTGATCGTGTTCTCACCTATGATTCATGATTCTTTTCTAGACATTATTACTCTGTAGCCGCTACCAGATGTGATAAATTGCCATTATGTTAACCTAGCAAACGTGATGCAGAACCAACAATAAACAAATTTGTCTTGTGATGTTTAAATGGATGGATGCACTGTTGTAAATTGCAATTTGAGACCGATTTTCCTGTTAAACAATTTCTGAATGAGATTACTGGACCAGAAACCGGGGAAACCATGTGAAAGAATGAGGTGAAGAAATGTGTTGACAAGTAATAATCTGTGGATCTTGGCTTTTTACTTGTGAGTGACTACATTCGTGTGAATGTGATGGACACCACATTCGTCATGACTTCGGCCCAATAATGGAACCAAGCAAGCATTTTGGACAATGTTGAAAAATTGATGGAAAGTAATTGAAGTTGGTATTTAGAGCTTTTCTTATAGATTGCATCCTTAAAAAGGTATAGTGAAGGTTTGCATATAATCATGTCCACTATAGATGGTCCCTTTTTTGGTTTTGGGGAGGAGGTAACAAGTGAGAGAAAATATGTAGAATACTTGCTTAGAATGAAATATTTGGAACGTAATTGTGCTATTGTTTTACTGGAGTGTTCTGCCTAAAAGACGAAATATCCTAGAGAGACTTGTGTTTGGCAAGGAAGAGTTTAGTCTCCTCAAATTTATTTATGTTTAAACCTGATTGACAATACCTGTGAAAAGAAGAGAGAAAGGATGTACTCGTGAAAGAAACTTCTGGGGTCGTCCTTAGGATCCTAGGATTACATTTGGTAAGGAACTACTGAGATAGTCATAGCTAAAACAGTTATAGTAGAAAAGGGGTGGGCAAGAACTCTGGGGCCAAGATCTTGGAAACTCTATGCTCTTTTGGAGGAGATGTGAAGGCAAAAAGCCGCCCTAGCAAAAGGAAAAGTACAGAGTTGCTTCAAGCAGTTCCTGTTTTTTTTCCTCTGCATTTTTACTCAGTTATCGCATGCTTATTGCATTGTTTGTTTTGGTAATACTGACACTTGGTGTTGGTTTACTTGGAGTTTTGCCTAATACATGTAATTGGGCTGATTTATAAGAAGAATCTTGTCCGTGACTTGGCATATTCTAGGGATTGGTGAAGGGGAAGCATTGTATTATTTTCTTAGTGTTCTACACAAATAAATTTGACAAGGATTTCCGTAATTGTTCATATTTTTTATGTTGCCACTTGCAACCCAGAATTGTTTTGATAAAACTTAGCATGTGGTGGCACTGTCAAAGTAAATGAATAGATTGTTTTCTTACTCTTTTTATGTACCCCCGTTTCTGTAGGTACCATCTTACGTGTTAGCTGGGAGAAGATAATTATCAATACTGCCGATAATTCTTTCATAAGCAGGTGAGTGTAATGTGTGATTCTTTTCCATGAGAAATTGAAACATACGTCATTCGCTACATTTCCTGGTCGTCTTGGCATCCCAATACATGGTTTTAGGAATTTCTTATTTCCTGTTAAGCTTAGTGCACGTTGACATCTCTATTCTTGTCACCTTTTGGTAAATACCTAATAGATTGGGTTCAATTCAGATGCTTTCCAACTCAAGCTGCCTCATTGGTTTCATTTTTCCTGCTTTTTGTGGCTATATGTTAATCCATTCTATTTCAGGATCTTAATATCGTGTGGTGTCTTTTATTTTGTGCATTACAGAATTTTGACTTTGCAAATATCCAAAATGTACGTCTGACAGCACATTTTCGTGTTGTTTCGCAGGGCTTAATCTGGGCCCTTTTGAATGCTCTGGAGTTTATCGTTCAGGATGTACCTTTTCTGCAGACACTCATTATATAGGATTAGTCCAAATTTTGTCACTATAGGTTATGAATGGGTTGATGAGAAACAAGTGTTCATTTCGGGGTTACTGCATATGCAATATTTCTTTTCAGTGAGAATGTTTTACATTTTGCATATTTATGAGAATCCCACATTTTGCATATATTTGCCCAGTGGTTTTGGGAAAAGAATTCAGCAGTGACAAGAATAGAAAAGGAAGCATCTACTTGTAATGTAACCCATCTACCAAGGCCTAAGGGTAGCTGCAAAATTGGACAGGCCATTCAGGACAGGGACAACCATGCCCCATGGACTACCATCTTCAATGTGCTGCTCTACTGCAAATAACAATTGCAGATGATAAACGAGGTCTTAAATGTGGCAGATGATATAAATCCACAACCAACCTCTTCAGACAGTTAATTTCCTTCCATCATTCACAGACTATTTCAGGGGGAAAAAAGAATAAAGTACATGATAGGCCACATCATCTGAGACCAGAGAAGCTCTTAACTCCATTAGCAAAACAGTACTTTAAAGTTAAAAAAAGAGATGAAGACCAAGCTTGTAGAAGACTAGGAAACATTCAGCATTATCCCATTTCTCCTCTTCAAGAGCTCAAAGGTTTTAAGATCGGATTGGGAGATTCCAGGACACCCCCGTGTCGAAAAAAAAAATGCATGTATAGTATAGTGCAGCATTTCGACATACATATACTTTATTTTGCCATCTTTTAGATGATGTTGTTGACGGTATGATGGTGTTGACGGTACATGCATGTGCCGCAGATTTGACAAACCTCGCTAATGTTGCATTTTTTTTTAGTAAAACATATTACTTGACCTCTGAAAGAGAAGGTCGCGGAAAGCCTGTTATCTTTTGGCTTTAGATGGAAATATGGTCCTATACTATACAATGGGAATAAGCCAGCAATAATATCGAGTAATCCCCATTTTATTTTATGAAGAAGAATGGGATCCCACTAGACAAAATCTTATCCAAATAAAGAAGTTTGTATCCGTGGAAATAGACATTCTGCATGAACACAATAATATATAGCTCAAGATGGCATTAGTACAGCAAGTTTTAGTTTACACTAAATTTTCCGGTGAAATTGTTCAGTTTTTTATTTAACTTCCTTACAAAGCAGGATAAAATAATTACCAGTTGGACTAATCTAAAGCTACCATACTACTAGCAAACATGCCAAGTGTTTCTGTCGTCTCCTAATCTACAAAGCAGGACAAAATAATTGCCGTTGTCTCCTAATCTCCATCCCATCAAGCGTAGCACCTTTGAGTTTTGGCAAGGAATAATCCAAAGTTGGAAGATTCAAGTCCAGATCGAAGCGGCCGGTTAACTTTGAGATCAACTATGGTGTTGGAAGAGAATATTCTTATTCTTTGGGGAGAAAAACGGTTACCAACTGCGCCCATGAGAGAAATGTCAAGCTTCTGGACTCCACATTCAAGTCCTGCAATTATCAACGACTCAATTTCCAACCCAAACACTCCAAGAAAGAGAGAAGCGTCGAGTCGAGAATTCCCCATTTCTGACTCTGAGGAGAATAACTCTCAGGCCAAAGTTTATAAACTTGGTGAAGCGCACATGTTCAAGAGAAGCGTCGGAGTACTCTTGGTCACATTCATCGTGAAACGCGGGTAAAGATCCCCGGTACTGAAGGTCGATATTAGGAACTGAAGCAAAAATGTACCGCCATCTGGTGGATAGAACTGAGGTGGCCGCTAATTTTGTGGGGCGATATGACAAAATGTGGCAGAGAACAGCATCAGGAAGACCACTAATCCTATCAACCATTCTTGATTGTCTTCGGACTCTCAACCAACTCTCTTATACAGACAATAATGTGGGAACTGAGTGAAATGCCTTTGATGAATTAGCCGGTTGCGTTGAGTTTAGTTGAGAACTGAGATGCCAATCATAAATGCTACTACTACTATTTTTCTTCCAAAATCTTTACTAGATCTCTTGGAATCCCTTTATCTTCCATCTGAGGAAATGGAGATTTGCTTCGTTAATAGTAATTTACCTGATGCATGGCACACTTAATTAGCCTTTCGGTTTTTCCCAGGATTACAGATGCATGCGTCTCTAGAATTGTACTTTAACAACAACAGTTACGTTGTAGACTTGTAGTACTAATTATAGACGTGGAGAAGCCTTAGAAAAGGAGAAATCTACTGAGACACGAAAAAGATAAAGAACAGAATATCTTCGTCAAAGAAAAAGAAAAAGAAAAAAGAACACAGAATGTCACCCCGAGCTACCAATTCCCTCAATAAGCAATTTCTTGGTGATTAACAAAAATGGATTGAAAAGCTCTGCGTTAATATTTAGACTAATTGTTTAAAACTTAAGGGTTTAATCAGAACAACAGCAGTGGCAAAAGTCACAATCACAACGTCCTCAGCAACACCCAGTGTCACAACAGTAACCAGTACCAAAACAGTCATAACCAAAACAGCAACTGCAATCACAAATACAATCACATCCCTGTCCACAGCAGCCACCACCACCGGCTTTGTCAGTTTCCTGCTGCTTCTTGTTCTTGGTCTTTCGCCCCATGAATGGACAACATGGAAAGTGATACAGCAGTTATTTGGCACATTTTGCATTGTCATCTTGTTCTAATTTTGGCTATTCATGGTGCTAAGAAAGGAAATTTCACTCATATTTGATATTTGTGTGAATTGTAGGTGGTTAGCATTAAAAATGATATCTTGAGGTGAATTTCCAGAAGACTTCTCATTTTAGGGCGTGGCCACGCCTTAGAAGGTGGACGAAACCGAAAGACGGACCATGATCCATGTGAACCCGAAGCACGGGATTGGAACCTTGAAACAAAAGTTGTGGGCCTCCTAACCCTTTGAAGACTACTGGCGGCTACAAAAGGCGAAAGAGACCAAAAGAAAAGGGATTCACATTTTTAAATTAGGAATTAGATAGCTTTAGTTTTCTTTTTCCCTAGCCGTCAGACGTTGTAGACTCTGCTTTTGCTTTTTGGCTTTCACGTTTTTTATTCTTTTGCTTTGGCTTTGGCTCTGTACAATTTTCGTTGGCCTTTGCGTTGTACTTCGCTTCAGTACGAACATTAACGCAGAGACAAGGAAGACGTTTTCTTTTCTTTCTTTCGTCATTACTCCATCGTTCCAATTTCGCTGATGACTGTGCGGATGAAATTAACCAACCCACGCAAAATTGACACGATGAGGAGCGGCTAATTTAGTCCTCTACCCAAAGGTCGACGCGAGGGCGCGGTCCATAAAATCTGTGAGATCTAATCGAATCTTCATTATTTCTTCCAAGTTATTGCTATTCGTGCGTTTCCTGAATTAATTGTTCATGGTATTTGATTAATTGAATATCAACGGTCGGGTATTTGATTTAATTTAATAGCCTACTGCCACGTTAATTAAATAGAATCCGTAATTGTTCATTTAGTTGACACCCCGTGGCGACCACCATAATTGGCTTTATGATGGGAAAATGCAAGATCAAATTTAAATAAACACTCTTAGCGTGTTTATTGGTTAGGGTTGGGTTCTTCTAGCTTTAATGCAATTGGATAATTAAATTCCTACGGTCGTACCTAGGGTTGTTATCTGGTTAGGGAAGCAGTCAATGGTCGTACCTTGACTGTCGAAAAGGTAAGGAAGAACTGGTTGTCAGAGCTTATTGATAACTATAACCAACCTAGTGACGAATGGATGAAATATCTGTGCATCGATGATCATTTAATTGGACCGTGTCTGAACAGTTGATCATTTGGGTAGAACTTTTATTAATTGCTATTTTTAGTAAATTGTGCTTTGTGAGTTAGTTTTGAATTTTGTTTGTTTTATTTTTATTTTTATTTTCCTCCCATCAAAAACCCCACATACTCTGAACTCTAGAAGAAACGAATTATCCCCAGTCCCTGTGGATTCGACCCTACTCACCGCTATATACAAAAATCTGTATTTTTCTCGAGTAGGTATTTATTATTGTACAGGTTCGGCACCTGTCAATTTTGGCGCCGCTGCCGGGGACTGGTGCCTGATTAATTTGTTTCTTTTTGAGTTCATTTTTTTTATTTTTCTCTTTTTTTTTTTTGTATATATTTTATGGCTGCTAACATTCCGTATTTTGGTGATAGACTGGATTTTAATTTTACAAGGGGTTATGAGACTCATACTTTTTCTAATGATCAATGGGCTGTTGCAAATTGTGGAGCTTATTTTGCTTCGAATTATTCACCCAACATATGCCCTGCATTTCAAGATGGTCGAAGTACTCCAATCGATACTTTTGGAGATTTTCCACCTCAATATCAAACGTGGTATGACCCTTATTCAAACGGGTATGAGCAAGGATGGTGGGATGATTCCACTTTTAATTATGAACAAAGGCCAATAGATTTTCAACAGCTAGAGTCTCAAGGACCGTCATCCATGTCAGGTATGTCTCTTGAAGAAATAGTTGAATTAATAGCTACTAACACATATCAAATTCAACAGGAGACATATCAAATTCAACAGGAGACACATCAAATTCAACGGGAGACACGTCAATTTCAACAGGAGACAACAGGTTGATTAAAGAGATGGAAGATGGAAGGCGTGAATCGGCATCTACAATGAGCAAATTGATTTCTCCATTTTGTGAAGAATTGCCCTCAGCGATTATTATCGACCATGAAGAAGATGAGAGTATAATTATCCTGACAAATGACATGGAACTGCAAGAGTCTCATGAAGAAAAATCTAAAGATGCAGTTGAAAAGGGAATTCAAATACAAGAAAAGGAACCCCAATATCAAATTGTTCAAGTGGATGAATCCAGTGAACAATCTCCAAATGCGGTGACACCTCCCCCATTCCTTAATCAATATTCTCCTGACTCTTATTCTTTAATTCCTGTTAGTGAGATTGATTTTATTATATCAGAAAATTTTGAGTTTCATGACAGGAATGAGTTAAGAGTCACGATGGCAAAATATCTCGAACCAATAAGTGCTCGTGATGGAGGAATGAGTGAAGATTTAAGGTCATCACTTATTTGTTTGGCGCCAACTACTAATCCATGGAAGACCGTAGCTCGTGGAGTCAAGAATTACTCTATCTACGAGGGCTATCAGGATTACATAGGAGATGAAGCACTGAAACGAGCTACACGATTTTATCCTCCGTGAATAAACATGACGATGTCTAGCCAAAGACATTAAAGAAAGGCGCTGCTTGGGAGGCAACCCAAGGATTCTTTTGTTTTAGTTTTCTTATATTTTTGGAATTTTTATTAAGTGTTAGTGTCATTTAGTGGATTGTTGTTTTGTGGCAGGAAGCTGGCAGTTGGACATACCACTCTAGTTGATCATGCCTAAGGAATGAAGCTTTGGAATTGATGGTCAGAAGACTCTAGCTTCCAAGGCATGCCCACGCCTTCCAACCCTTCCGAAAACGAAACTTCAGTCTTCTCCTTCCTGTTGGTGTTGCGTCCATCGCCGCCACTCCACATTGTGCACGCAGCCGTCTCCCCTCCTCCGCCTTAGTGTCTCACTTTCCCTCCCCAGTGGTCAGGGAAGTTTCTTTTCTTTTCTCCTAATACTTCATTTGTCTTTTCTACATTGAGGACAATGTAGGTTTTAGGCGTGGGGAGTGGCTTCCATTATTTCTTTTTGCTTTGTTACTCAAAAAAAAATGAAAAAAAAATGAAACAAATGGAAAAAATGAAAAGAAAACATTGTAGTTAGTCGGCTTTTTGTTTATTTCTATGCTTGTTAATATTGGAGCATGTTGCTGTGATAAATGACACAATCAAGATGCGTGGTATGTGGGTAAATATACTAGCTATGCATTTCGTTTTCCCTTGGCAGTGTTGTTGAGTGTTGAATACGCTGGACTTGACCCATTTTTGAAACTTTTGGGAGCTTTTGAGCCTTATATGAGCACATTATTCTTGTTTGCTCTATTTTTGTTTGATTGAGTGGGTATCACACATGGTATTGGCATTCTAGAACTTGCTAATTTATACATGTCGAGACCACATTTTTTTGAATTGGATGCATTTGAAATGATAAGGGCATTTAGGATTTAATCCTCTTTAGCTATCTAAAAACCAAGCCCTCATCTTATCTCCAATAGTGAACCAATTTGAGCTTTTATCTCTCTCTTTGTTTGTTAGCCGTATTGGATAATCCATGACCCTTTTTAGACTCTTTTGTCCAACCTTGTGTCATTAAGCGATGTCTGAAATTCATTACTTGTGCAAGGTAAATAAATCTGTGGTGGCAAGTGTTGTAAAAAAGATGCTGGATGGTGCTGTTTCTGTATATCTGAGATCGAAAGAAAAGCCAAGAAAAAAAAGAAAGAAAGAAAAGAAGGAAAAAAAAAGGAGAGAAATCGGCAAAAAGCTGGTGAGCAGAAGACTCTGTCTTCCAGGGCGTGCCCACGCCTTGCTAGACGTCCTCTCCAAAAAAAAAAAAAAAAAAAAGGAGAAGGAAAAAGAGGAACGAGTTTCGACACTTGCACAATGAAAACAGCAAATGGAAACGCCCTACTTGAGAACCTACCCCGATAAAGCATTGTGGTTATGTAGTGGATATCGGACATTCTCTTGACACATACACCCTATTTTTACCTTCTTATCCCGCCTTTTACCTAAATCTCATTACAACCCTATTAAAGTCCCTTTGATTTGTGTATTTAGTTCACTTTCGAGTGGTGGAGATGTGATAAATGTGCAAACTTATAGTAATGTCATTCCATGATGTTGATTTGAGCGTTTCTAGTATTCATACACTTTCTTGGAGGTAACGAGTATTACTGGTCATATTCTTTTTGGACTCCTACCTATCCAGTATGTTCTAATCTTGGTGACATTGTCAGGGACCTTAGATGCTTGTGTTAGTATAGACAACTCCATAACCTCTGCTCTCTTGGTTGTACTTCTGAGCTCCGAAATGCTTGAGGGCAAGCATTGTCTAGGTGTGGGCGGATTTGATAGAGCAGTTATTTGGCACATTTTGCATTGGCGTCTTGTTCTAATTTTGGCTATTCATGGTGCTAAGAAAGGAAATTTCACTCATATTTGATATTTGTGTGAATTGTAGGTGGTTAGCATTAAAAATGATATCTTGAGGTGAATTTCCAGAAGACTTCTCATTTCAGGGCGTGGCCACGCCTTAGAAGGTGGACGAAACCGAAAGACGGACCATGGTCCATGTGAACCCGAAGCACGGGATTGGAACCTTGAAACAAAAGTTGTGGGCCTCCTAACCCTTTGAAGACTACCGGCAGCTACAAAAGGCGAAAGAGACCAAAAGAAAAGGGGATTCACGTTTTTAAATTAGGAATTAGATAGCTTTAGTTTTCTTTTTCCCTAGCCGTCAGACGTTGTAGACTCTGCTTTTGCTTTTTGGCTTTCACGTTTTTTATTCTTTTGCTTTGGCTTTGGCTCTGTACAATTTTCGTTGGCCTTTGCATTGTACTTCGGCTTCAGTACGAACATTAACGCAGAGACAAGGAAGACGTTTTCTTTTCTTTCTTTCGTCATTACTCCATCGTTCCAATTTCGCTGATGACTGTGCGGATGAAATCAACCAACCCACGCAAAATTGACACGATGAGGAGCGGCTAATTTAGTCCTCTACCCAAAGGTCGACGCGAGGGCGCGGTCCATAAAATCTGTGAGATCTAATCGAATCTTCATTATTTCTTCCAAGTTATTGCTATTCGTGCGTTTCCTGAATTAATTGTTCATGGGTATTTGATTAATTGAATATCAACGGCCGGGTATTTGATTTAATTTAATAGCCTACTGCCACGTTAATTAAATAGAATCCGTAATTGTTCATTTAGTTGACACCCGTGGCGACCACCATAATTGGCTTTATGATGGGGAAATGCAAGATCTAATTTAAATAAACACTTTTAGCGTGTTTATTGGTTAGGGTTGGGTTCTTCTAGCTTTAATGTAATTGGATAATTAAATTCCTACGGTCGTACCTAGGGTTGTTATCTGGTTAGGGAAGCAGTCAATGGTCGTACCTTGACTGTCGAAAAGGTAAGGAAGAACTGGTTGTCAGAGCTTATTGATAACTATAACCAACCTAGTGACGAATGGATGAAATATCTGTGCATCGATGATCATTTAATTGGACCGTGTCTGAACAGTTGATCATTTGGGTAGAACTTTTATTAATTGCTATTTTTAGTAAATTGTGCTTTGTGAGTTAGTTTTGAATTTTGTTTGTTTTATTTTTATTTTTATTTTCCTCCCATCAAAAACCCCACATACTCTGAACTCTAGAAGAAACGAATTATCCCCAGTCCCTGTGGATTCGACCCTACTCACCGTTATATACAAAAATCTGTATTTTTCTCGAGTAGGTATTTATTATTGCACAGGTTCGGCACCTGTCAGAAAGCATAAGCATGACACCGTCTTCTTCTTCTTGTTGACTCTCTATGACAATGTTAGAACAAAGCCCAGATTTTTTTTTTCTTCTTAAGGAATCATCAATTTTGTACTTACATAACCTTGTAGTACCGTTTATATAACACTTTCTCCTGTAAAATAATTTCCTATGTTAGTGTAATATTAGCATCAATTAGGATCACAAATTAAGATATTATCTGGTATTATTGGATATCGTTGTAAGAATTCTTAAGATATTATCTGGTATTATTGGATTATCTGTAAGAATTCACCTCAAAATTTTAATTAACTGCTTCTCATTGGATATCGTTGTTCTTCACCATCTTATTTTATCCACATTTGTCCCTCACTCTTTTTCTCTATATATATATATATATATATATATATATATCTGTTTCTCTATTTCTTATGGTGAATATTACTTTCTCTTTCAATTTGTAAACTAATTCTTGTCATTAACAAATTAGAGTTACAAGCAAATTGAAAGACAATAAAATTATGGATTTCATCTGCTTTTCTGAATCATCAAAAGGATTAATGAGCAAGGTAAAATTCACTACTACATGTGAACTTGCTGACTGTTTGCCCACAAAATTCACTAACATTGCAAGCGTAAACATTCAGCTTCAATGGGTATGTTCTTATATTTTTGTCATAGATATTTCCAAACAACATTAAAACCAATGAAATAGCAATTTGGGGAAAACGTTACAATTTTTGTTTTTACCGCTGGTATTTAATAGATGGATATGTTCTTAATATTCACTGTTATCTCTCTGTAAGACTCCGCATTATGATTGCCATTAAATTAGATCAATGTCGATCAAGTTGAAATTGTTTGCAGAGGAACTAGGCTGCTACTTTTCTGTTTTGTGAATTGGATTGATAATATTATCTCGTTGTAGGCCACAAGTGTCAGTGAAGCAGCAAGCAGTGATAGTGCCGAAACATTGTGAAAGGCTCAAAAGTGTGCTTAAGGCAGAGTCAGCCTGGAACCTCTAGAGCATCTTATTGCACTTTTCGCATTCTCCAACTGCAACATCAGGCTGTGGTTTCCCATCATTTTTGAAGAAAGATGAGGAGGTATGTGGGTTGGAAATGACTCCACCCAACTTACTCGAAGTACAGGGGAATTGGTCCAAGTTTGTTTAAGTCATGTAATTGGGCCTAAATGTAGGGTGGTATCTGCACTAGTAAGTGTTCTTTATGGCTTAATCGATGGAATTTAGCTTAATTTTTGCTCTTTAGGATTTTGAGTGATAAATTGTTGCATTAGTCACCAGACCAAACCTTTCTATGGCTCATGTTTCTACACAATGTCATAACTGAAGCAGAACTGTGATGTAATATTGTTATTTTTTTTTCCAGAATTTGTTTAGGAAGTAGAGTACATGCTTTTTGGACAAAGAACACCAAGGTTCCCATATTGTTCTTATGAGAATGTCAAGAGGGAGGAGTTATTTTCGCTTATCAGTCAGGTTTTGAAGATGGAAGGTAGTTATCTGTGAGTTTGCCCACCAAAATGCCATAAATTGCTCAGAATGTGGAAATGAAGGTAAAAAATGCTGACTGCATGTCTGTTGGCCTATTTCAATGGCTTTTTTTTTATATATCTATTTTCTGGAAGTATTTAACAAAATAAATCAAATATTGAACCTTTTCTCCTTGTAGCATGCTGAAAACAGAGTGGCTTGTGACAGGCTTGTAGAAAGTACTGGAGAGCTATCAACGTGCAAGACTTGCTTGAAGAAAACTGGACTTACTGATACTTAGTTCCAGAGGTGAGAAGATTTGATGGAAAGAAGTTAGACATTGTAGACAACATTGACGATCATTTGGACGACATAAATGAAGCATGTGATTGCAGTGTCAATCATTCATTTGGGTGGAAACAGTTAAAGGATTTGGTGCAAGAACCTCATTTAAAGGGACTCATGGTACAACTGTGCCAACAGTTAGTCATTCCAGGCATCAAGCCCAGCATTGAATTTGTTTTAGTAAAATGAATACCTTCGTGGTTCTTAACTAACTTAATTATTTTGACATGTCTACTTCAAGATAAATAGTCACAATCCAAAAAATTGCAGTTTGAATGACCAATAAACAGGTTTTGTTATTGTAGCATTCTATTTGTTATGTTTTAGCTAAGAAAGACTAGCAAACCTAAAAATAAATTATAATTATTAAGAAACTCCCTTGGAATATGTAACATTTCAGAAGACTAATGACGGTGGGGGATCAATGATAAATGTTTCACATGAAGTTCTCCAATATGGTTTCACCTAATTGGAGGTACTCTGCCTCAAGCATCTGCTTGTTAGGCTAGATGAGCATGTTTCAGCACGCTCATTCAATGGAAGGTGATAAGTAACTCTTAAGAATTGAAGAAGAAGGAAATTACTGACCAATACTGAAAGGATATTGACATCCATTTCCTGCTTCTTTCTGATAATAGTTATCCATTTTTTATTTTTGTTTGGCCCAAAGAGTTTAGTCTGTTGGGTGAAATCAGTCGGCCAAAAGAAGTTAATCAGAGAATTTATGAATGCTAGTACATAAATATAAATTCTGTATTCTTTCTTCTGATTATTTTGCCAAACTAGCTAGTTTGGGTTATCATTTTAGAAAGAGAGGAAAGATTATCATCTTACTCCTCCTTTAACTTTTAGTTAAACATTTTGCTTTGATCATGACTTTCTTTTCAGAAAGAATCACAAGGACAATTTATGCAAATTTGATTGACTTTTGCTACCATTACTTTTTTTTTTCGCTTTTTAGCCCTTCATTTTTGGTTGTCTAGTAGACGGGTGATTTTTCCATTCCAACTTGCATAAGGACTTTTTTGGCTCGTGGTAAAATATTTATAGAAATATCCATTTGAGCATTTTCAAGAAATGTCTTATGGGCTATGTTGTAACATGTAGGAAGCAGTGGCTTCCAAGCAAAAATGTAATGGATGGTGATGTGGTAGGCAATTGCTCACTTAAGGAGTGATGATCAGTCTTCTAGAAAGCAATGTGCGACGGAGTAAATGAAGAGGTATGTAGTCTCAGTGGATTAAAGGTCTACTACTTTGTGTTTTTGATGTCTTAATCGATGCATTTTTGCTGTTTAGGAATTTTTGTAATACATTCTTCATAAGTATTGAAGGTTTGACATGCCTAATTTTACCCTTAATATTACTGCAATGTAACATGTGATGATTTTTTTTTTCCTGAATCTGTTTGGGAAGCAGACTTCATCTTTCCGCTACTAGTTGCTTATAGAGAGATCTTTGCTTATTGTGAACTGTTAATCGGATATCTATGTCAATATTTAAGGCAATCAGTGTCTAACAGGCTATGTTGGAACACGTACAATGCAACAGTTTCCGAGCTGTAGTGTATGAATGTAGTTTCGATTGATTAAAAGCTTGCTTCTCTTGAAGTTGGCATGTCTTTCACATACACATGGAAGTGCCTGAGAAGTTTTCATGTATTTTGCAGGTTTCTTCTAATTTGATTTGCTTCAGACAGAGGAAAGCATATCAAGGAACCAATTTGCCGCTGAGACTAGTAGCCAATTTGGTTGATCTCGGTTCCATTCCATTATAAGCTCTCTGGATTCCTCTACTTGTCAATCGCATGAACATAGATCTCATATCATTGGAAGCATTGAAAGTGAGAGGATGAGAAGGCAAGAACATTGGAAGCTAGTTGCTGGATTGTAGGCGTGAAAAAGTCCTTCAATTCACATTTCTATTATTTGTTGCTATACTAAAGTTTTGCTCTATAGTACCGTATCCCAAAACTTCAGTTTAACTATATTAAAAGTGTCGTACACATGGCTGGCTAGAGTGCATGTATTACTTTAGCTTGGGTTACCGAGAGAAAGAACATTGCAACAGATACTTGAGAAAATGAAAAGAGCTTGTCCCTTTATTTGTAAGGGGTAGGCAGGATGTGGGGAGTGGTTGGGAGGGTGAAAAATAATTTTAAAAAAGTGAAAATGAATAAGAAAATAAAAAGCTTTTGTGGATAAACTATACTACCTATATTATACTACTCTAACTAATAAACTAAGGAAATTCTATTGAAGATTACATTTTTTGTAGAGTTTCTCTAACCTTTCAAAGTTGTAAAAACATTTCCAAAGGATACTATTTATAGACGAATTCAAGGTCAAAAAGTGTTGTTAAAGTCGATGTGAAATGTTCCTTGAAATTCCCAAATAATGTTCCCACAAGTTCCTTGCATCTCTTTTATAGCTGTGGCCGAAATTCTTATCTACCATAGAGTTGGAAAGTAGTGTGAAACTAGAAGAAGTTGCAGAGCAAGTTGTAGAAAACAGAAGAGAATACATAACCTCGGGAATACACGACTTACGGTCACGTATTCACAGCTCGCATTTTCACTTCTGTGTATTTAGTACCAATTCAACTGATTTTTTATAATGATAGAGGCCGAACTAGCTCTTGTAGAAAATATAACAGTTGTAGCCCTTCGAGTTAGTTTTCCAATACCTCAAGAATCATCCAATATGGAGTTCTGTGGACCAATAAATGACCAAAATATCTTGGACTGGTCAGACCTCTATTTCAGATTTCAACCATGAAAATGCACTTCTATATTTAGACTTTTTGACTAGTAAAACAACTGAACTGGACTTCGATTCTCATATCAATTATATATATATATATATATATATATATATATATATATATCTTAGCTTCAAAATGATATACAGATCACCTTAATCCGTTGCTTGTAACTCAAGATATTGCCAAAATACCATAAGGTGTCAAAGCTATTTTCACTTGCATTTTTCTCTTTAAGTATTTTGCACTTCATGTCTATTTTAAATCACTTCAAATCATCATTAAACATCCAAATATCTTCTTAATTCATGCCATTTGATAATTGAATTTTTAAACCTATAAAAATATCAAGTTTTTACCATTAAAATCTATAGAAATGCAATTTTTACCACTTAAACCTTAAAAAGGCATATTTTCACTAGAAACTTAATTCATCAGCTATAAAAGTAAATAAAACACATTTAAAACAGGTAAAATATATACTTATTAAACATCATATAACTCAAAACTTGCTCATTTGCAACATTATTATCTGCAAACGGAGGATTATGGAACGTTGCTTAAACGTCAAGGATTACTAGGACAATATAATTCAATTTTAATCAGGATTTCCCTAATCTCAAAAGCGTTGCTTTCTTCTTAATTTGAAACGAAACCCACTGAGTTTTGATAATTCTTATAGTATAGTATAATATTTCCTTGACCCGTGCACATGACGAGTTTATATTATGAAGGAAACAGTTAAAGAATTTACATGAAAAGCAAAAGGTAAAAAGTTCAGGAGCGTGTCATTTGTTAAGAACATGTTAAAAATAAAAATGAAACCTTATTAATTTACCTTTGCCAGCATAAGATGAATCTAATTAATTTTACTATTATGAAATGTTTCAATTCTAAACATGCCTACATACAATCAGCATCTCATCTGGTACCAATAAAAAATAAAAAAAATTCTTAAATTACATTTTACCCTTCTATGGTTTAATACTTTTCTATATAACCCTCTAATGATTACAAAAGTTATATATAACTTTGCATTCCATAAATAGAGTTGACTAAAATGTCAAAAGTACCCTTATGTAAAGTTGAAAACTAATTATTAATTATAGGGGAGTATATATATATATATATTATTTATTTATTTATTGAAAACCATAAGGAAGTTATGTAATAAATCACTAAAACAATAAGAGGTTAAAGTGTCATGCATATTATATTTACATTTTAGTCACTTTAGTCATGTTAATTTCTAGACAAGGATAATCTCAATACTTTCATGGATTCCATTACAGAGGACTATTTCTACCACTTGGACACTTTAATCCAAATTATAAGGGGATTATGTAAAATTTTTTAAACCATAGGAAAATTATGTGGAAAAGAGGTAAACCACAAGGGGTAAATGTAATTTATTCTAAAAGAATTTTAGTAAACAATTACATTATAGCCATATTCATCCTGAATCTCATATAAACAAAAATATTTATTATCAAAATATTATTAAAGCAGATTTCATATGTAAATAGAAATTTGAAACTAAATCCCTACATTAAAATACAATTTAAAAATTGGGTAAAGCACTGAGTTTATTGTTTTGACATTGAGTTCAAATTCAAAGCATTTAGAGGAAAAGTTCATAGTTTAATCCATATTGGCCCTCATAATTGAAGAGGTAAAATTTGAATGTAAGAAAAATTCCATGGCCAGGAATTCATTTTTACATTTTAACAAGTGATTAGCATTTCCTATCACACAAAACCAGAAAGAAGAATAAATTGATCATCATAGTTATAAGTTGACAGGTTGTCAAGGTTGTGCAATAATAAAACCTATTCAAACTAAAAGTAATTTCTGTAGATAGTGGTGAGCAGGGTCAAATCCACATGGACTGGGTGTAACTGTTTCTTTTCAAATTCACAGTAATACGGGGGGTGTTTTTGTATCAAGGGGTGACAATTAAAGCAATTCAACTAAAAGTAAAATAGTAAAAATTAAATAGCCAACTAAAAATTAAATAACAATTTACTAAAATCAAATGAGTGATAATTAAGGATCTAGTCAAGAAATAACTTCAGCAATGGTTCACCTAATTGATCATCGATACAAAGCCAATTCCAATTATTTACTAATAAATAGGTCATAACTGCCAAACAAGCGATGACAGTCAACCCTCCTTACTGTGTCGGTGATTAAGGTACGTCTGTTAACCACTACTCTAATTGAGAAATAATCTTCGGTAAATCCGTAAGATTTAATTCCCCAATTGCCTTACATATTAGAGGAGCCCTATTCTAACCAAATAACACACTACCAGGTTATTTTAGATTAGCCTGCGTATCCCCCTGACACGAACATAATCGTGCCAGTTGTCACTATTTCAAGGCAATTAAACAATTACGGATTTAAATACCCTAATTGACAATCGATTACCAAATTAACTAATTATCCGGATCCAAGATAATCAATTAATTGAACAATTATAAACTCTGTAGCCAGGAAATATGCGAATACCAATAAATAACAAAAAAAATAAAATTAAATCGATCTCACAATTTTTAGATAAACTAAAGCCTCCGTTGTCCCTTGACTAGAGTGAGAAAATTAGCTCATGTTTGATGAACAAAATCCACGAGAAATTAAAGCAACATTAGCGGCCATTGGCCTCGTTCGTGAGAACTCAATTTGTTCGATTGAATAAGGAGAAACCAGCAACTACAAACAATGATTCAATTCCTCGTAAGGCTCCTGACATCGGCAGGAGAACTCCACTATCAAAAGCTAAGAAGGAAAAGTCCCCACTAGATGACGAAGATGGAAAAGTCAAAGAAAACTAAGCTAAGTAGTCCTAATCCTCCGCAATTCCAATTCCTATCTAATACTACATTACTACTTTGCAGCGGCATCCAGCCTGAAGAGACCCACGAAGACTAGCCCTTCGTTCTTTTTCTTTTGTTGTCCTCCGCAAATTACCAAAAAGGACTTGCATCTCCCTTATTTCAAAAATGCCCTGGGATAAGTTCTATTATGTGGACTCCTCTTCTGTTAAATTGACACTTGTTAATTTCCCTTTTATTCTTGTCAAATATTATTTTAATTATTAATATTTACTCATATTTGGTATTGGACCCAATTTCAGGAAGTGAAGCAGAAAACTATAAAAAATGAGAGACTTTTTGTAGAAAATTGAGACTCCTAAAAGCTCAATAGACCTGGCCCACAAGGAGAGGAAGAAACGGAATGGCTGATGAAGAATTAATTGGTACTAAGGGCTCTACTAGCAATAGCAAATGGGAAGAGAGGAAACATTGAGTAGGGCCTTGCCCTTTGGTACCCTTTGTTGACTTATGCGGCGGGGACCACGGAGAATAGGGAAGGAATTAGTCATTTGGCTTTAAAAGAGCAACAAACGTACACAGAAGCTCTTATCACTAGTTTTAGGGAGTTAGCTTTTTAGCATAGTTTAGTTTGTCTTTTTTTCTTCTTTGCCGTCTCTTCTAGGAGGAGGACGAAGACATAGCTTGTTTTCAATAATTACTTCTGCACTTTTGCATGGGATTTCCTCCATGAAGATGAATTAAATCCCTTCGTCTAGTCGAGGAACAACGGAGGACTTGGTTCTACTAAATTTGTGAGATCGAATTAGTTTTTATTTATTTCCATTATTCACTGGTATTCGTCTATCTTCTGCTTTATGTTCATATGGTTGTTTTATTATTCGATTATCCAGGGCCCGGATTCTAGATTAATTCAATAACCTGAAGCCAATTAGGGTAGTTAAATCCGTAATTGTTTAATTATTCTAAACTGGTGGCAACTGGCATGATTGGGTTTGTGTCAGGGAGATAGGCAGGCTAACTTAAAGAGACCCTCGTAGCGTGTTGATTGGTTAGAATTAGGCTCTTCTAATTATTCATGCAATTAGGGAATTGAACTTCTATGGTCGTACCTAGGGTTATTTCTTGGTTAGG